GATTCAGGGGAAGCAAATGTCAGGATAGCTATAATTGATGAAGGATTAGTGACCATAGAAAAGAGAAGGCTACCACTGAGTTGGTTAGCTCAAGCATGCAAATTGTATCCCTTGAAACAAGCCCTCAAGATATTGACACAAGGGAGGGGAACTGTATATAGTATATATACTGTATATATATACTGTATATATATACTGTATATACTGACTCCAAGTACGCCTTCATACTTGATGCATACATTTGGAAAAATCTGAGAAGAAAGAGGATAGTTAAATTCTAAAGGGAAAGAACTAATTAATGAAAGACTCATCTGAGATGTTTTAGAACCCTTATAGTTGCCAGAGGAAATTGCTATTGTACATATTTGGGGGTATCAGAAAGGGACCACTTTAGAAATAAGAGGGAATAGTTTAGCAGACTTAGAAGCTAAAAATGCAGCTGAGGCTGGAGAAGAGAAAGTGGTGATGATACTGACCCCTATGGAGAAATTCAGGATGCACCAGTATTCAGTAAATCTGAAGAAGAGGCTCTCCTTAGAATAGGAACAAAAAAGAACAATGAAGGGAAGTGGGTGTTATCTGATGGGACTCAGCTTTTAAAGAAATCATTGGCTAGGAAAATATTAGAAAGCATGCATGGTAAAGCTCACTGGGGTACCCAAGCGCTGTGTGATCAGTCCTTGAAAAACTGGGGCTGTGTAGGAATTCATGGAAAAGCTAAACAAATAACTGAAAAAATGTGCAATATGCCAGAAGGTAAACAGAAAAGTCATGAGGAAAGGTCACCAAGGAGGGCAAGAATTAGCCTTAGGACTTTTTCAAAGCATCCAAGTAGATTTCACTGAACTCCCCCAGGTGCAACGGTGGAAACTTTTGTTGGTAATCGTAGATCATTTAACCCATTGGGTAGAGGTGGTGCCAGTATTTAAAGCTACTGCCAATGTGGTACGCAAAACTCTTCTAGAACTAATCATTCCCCACTATGGAATGGTTAATCACATTGACTCAGATAGAGGGACACATTTTACCTCAAAAATACTACAGCAAGCTTTAGGTATAAAGTGGGAATTACACACTCCATGGCATCCACAGAGTTTGGGGCAGGTTGAAAGGATGAATCAAACTCTCAAGAGAACTCTAACAGAGCTTATGATTGAAACCCAAATATCATGGATCAAGTGCCTACCCCTAGCCTTGTTAAGAATTAGAACATAGCCTAAATCAGACTTAAAAGTTTCACCTTATGAAATGATGTTGGGTCTACCCTTTTTGACTTTATCCAATAGCATGGGCACTTATGAGGAAGGGGAGGACAGTGTCAAGAAATATGTCCTGTCTGTAGCACAAATTTAGAGGGACTCTGGGAAAAGGGAGGAATCCCTCAGACTGCTACCCTAAATTTCAAAAGTCATAGCGTTATTCCTGGGGACTGGGTAATGGCAAAATCATGGAAAGACCAACATTTAACCCCCATCTGGGAAGGTCCTTTTCAGGTGCTGCTAACCAATAATAGGCTGTATCAATGTAACTGCAGAATCAGGATGGACTCACGCTAGTAGGATAAAAGGACCAGTAAGAGAACCCTGCGACTCAAAAGTTGTCACTTCCACAGAAGGACTGAAAATTACTTTAAAACGGAATGCACAAGCTCAATATGGCCAGTAAACCAGGAGCAACCACGCATCAATCCAGCCTGGGAGGGAGTTCCCTGCAAGCTTTATAGATTATTTTGTATCAGCCAAAAGCTTTCCAAACTCAGGGGTGGTGGTTTGCTACCTCCCCAATCAGGGGGATCAAGTATATACAGACTAACAAATACCATGTCCATGGTGAGCCTAGAGTTTTCGCTTTTGCCTGTGATGTGCAGGAAGAACAACCATTAGCCGCCTCTGCTGAGACAACTCCCAGATTTATTCCCCATCACATATCCTGCTTAAAGCACTCTGGAACGAGACACTCAAGTTGGGTACAAAGTCAGTGTGAAAATTGTGGCCAGCTCTGGTTCTGTAGCTCGCCCAGGCAGCGCGTTACAAAATTTGTTGAGATAAAGGGATAAGTTCCAACACTAATTGAGGGCAGGCACTAATTCTAACACTTTGTTGTGGAATTGAGTGGAAGATCCCTGATATTCATGAGCTATTAGAAGCTGTAGTAAATCAAAAACAGAGACTATCTTTTGAATGCAGGCAACTACTCCATATAATGGGGAGATAATAAAACCCTATTCTGAGAGTGAACTTAATAAGGGCTGACTATTTAAGGAACTACAGAGAATCACAATGTAAGAAAAGCAGGTGACATAAGTAATTTTGGGATAAGGAGACCAGAAGGCAAGATGAGATTAACCACTATACTTGCCACCACTCACATCAACATGCTGGGCAGCAAACCCATCAGGCATGGAAGGTTGGGGTACACATTATACTTGGCTTCTGTTACTCCTTATAAGTCATGTCACCTTTGGGAATCCAGATGATCCCTGCCACAAATGCTACAATACAGTGGGAAAACCCAAGGTTCTTACTTTAGCTTGTATACCTTCATTAGCCACCACTGATAGAACTCCTCTCAGGTAGACACCTCCATACAAAATGACCAAATGTATAAAGTTACCAAAACTGTAGGTCAAAACAGGGGTGCCCATGAAGAGACAAATGACTGTCTCCACAAGTCAAACCCAAGAATGGAAAAAGGAATGAGATTTGATACAAGATTTAATACGGGAATGAATAATGATAAACAAACAAAGAAAACAGACGTAGCAACCCACCACTTTGAAGCCAACTCTACATGGAGGTTTACATGTAAAACTGAGACAACAACTGGAAAATGAAATAGAAATACCAATGTCAGGGGAAAACTTTGTAGACCTGGGAGAAAGGATCAGCAAGGAGCTAAAAGTTACCAGCTACTGGGTTTTGTAGGGAAGCTTTAATGTCCAAAGAATGGCCATGGAAGGGTAGTAGCCTAGGCCCAGTTGAACATCTCAAATGGAACAGAACCAAAATGAAAGGGGAAAATTGGCCAGAGGGGTGGATATTAAGTTCAGAAATAATTGGAGAGGAGTGCCTCTGGCTTAAGGGAAGAGAATTTTCAGACAATGTAGGACAGACCTCTTGTAAAAGATATAAAGTTTATAATGGAACTTTCACATGGTGGATCTCTGAAAAACCCACACAATATTGGACCCAGGAGAGGAAAAAGAATTGTAAATATGAAAAGGAAACTAAACTTTTCTGGTGCAATGACCCTGGGAAAAATCCCTTTTATGGGATCCAAATAAAAATTTTGGGAAAATATCAATAACCAAAGGAATGAGTACTGGAAAGCACTGGATGGCTTATTTTGGGTATGTGGGGAAAGGGACTTCCAGAACTTCCTCCCTCTATGGAAAAGAAGTTGCATTCTGGGAATTATACAACCTGGATTTTAGTGTTGCCAAGCCAAGATGGAGATGATCTGGGAATACTGGTGTACGATGCCTTAAAAAGAAATAAGAAAGAACTAATTGGAGAAATTGGGGGATATGAAAAGTGGGGCAGTGAGTGGCCACCTGAACAGATAATACATACATATGGTCCAGCTAGCTGGGAACAAAATGGGAGTTGGAGATATCAAACCCTAATTTATATACAGAATCACATCATAAGACTCCAAGAAGTTGTAGAAATAATATCTAATGAAACAGCAGGGGCCATGGAATTAATAGTCAAACAACAAACGCTAACCAGAGCTGCAGTGTATCAAAATCAGTTATCATTAGACTGTTAGAAGAATAGGGAGGGGTTTGCAGAAGGTTTAACATATCTGATTGCTGTCTACAAATTGATGATAATGGGGACGCAGTTTTGGAAAATACCCCATGTGCCAGTCCAAAAATGGGAATCTATAATGAATAAAGGATGGTTAGAAGATTTTTTTTTTAATATCCTGGTGGAAGAGGGCCAGATTTGTAGTGCTATGCAGAATAACAAATCTAATCTTTCTTCCATGTTTGATCCCATGTTTTATTTGATTAATCACTTATGTAGTCCAAAACATGCAAATAATGATAGTGCCCACCAATCCAAAGTTGGAAACCATAGGATGAAAGCAGGAAATTGAGAAAATAAAAAGATGATGAAAGCAAGGCATTTAAGATCTATGAAAAGTATCAGTATGCCAGAAGTTCAGAAGTGCAAAAATTGTAGCTCAAGCCAAATACAGTAAGAAAAACAAAGATGAGGGATTGTGAATTCTGTTTTTCAGTGAATTCTGTTTTTCACACCAATCATCTCCACATCTGCCAGCTCACTGCCACCTTTGATGGCCAGAATCACTTTGTCTACCCCTTCTCTGAAGGCCTTTACGCTATGGGACAGACTGTATTGTTACACATACATCTTCCATCCCAATGAAGTATCAGAGCCACAAAAACACCAGTCCTCTTCCAAATGACACAGATATAGACTGACATGAATAGTCTTTTTGATTTATTCTAGCACTTTGCTAGAAGAACAGGAGACAAGAAAAATGCTTTTAAATATCTACTGAGCTTTTAAATCTCTACTTTTGGAGTGGAGATGCTACAACATTCATATTTAATTTGATACACTGCTCATCCACTGACTCTTTGAATCTGCTTCACTGCCGGTCAGAGTTTAAATGCTGACTCTGGCCTAAATCCCAGGACCTTCCCCTGTCTACTGCAAACCCTGGCTGCTGCCTAGGAGGGCAGATTTCTGGGAGCCATCTTTATGTCCTGGTAGTCCAAAGGCACACACTGAACTTTCTCCACCTGTCCAAAAGGTGGTAACAAATCTCCCGCTTGGGCCTTCTGAATACTGTCATCCCTTCAGAGATCTGGAGGATTAAGGTCCTACAGGCTGGCTCTGGTTTCGTTTGGAAGGCAGTTTGTGGCTGGTGGGATCTGAGGAGCAGCAGCCTGGGGCCTTAGCCTGGCAAGGATAACTGTAAGCCAAGGCTTGAGGAAGAGGGGATGCTGCAGGGCCCGGCCCCTCCCTTCGGCGCTGCGGCCGCAGAGCCTCCAGCCAAGCGGTGAGGTGGAGGTGGCGCGGCGCCGGCCGCCGCCCCCCGCCGCGTGAGGAAATGGCTCTCACGTGAGGGAAGCGGCAGCGCCCGGCTCACCCTGCCCGCTGCCCGGAGAGGAGGCGCCAGCGGGTCTGGGGCCGTCCAAGGCATGCCGACGAGCTTCACGGTGGTGCCGGTGGAGGCGCAGGGAGAGGAGCGGCAGCGGGATGGGCAGCTGCCAGAGGAGGAAGATGAAGGCAACGAGAGGGACAGGGGCGCTGGTGAGAGAGTGGGGAAGCGCCGGGGGCAACGCGTGAAGAAAGCGTCGGCTCTGTGCATGCAGGGGAGCGGGTCTCTGCCGGGCCGGCGGAGAGCCCCCGAATACTTTGGAGGGGCCGTAGCGCCTCTCTGCAGCGAACGCTGCCGGGGCTACCTGTCTAGGTGTAGAAGTGCCTTCGGGAAAGGGCGAAAGTCCGGCGCCTGGGGTGGCTGAGAGCTTGTTTCGCTTTGTTTCCATTAGTCAGCGCCGCTGGCCGAAAGGAGGAAGTACTCAGGGGCGGCTCCGGCCGGTGCAGCGGAGCTGGCCGCGGAGCTGCCCGCGGAGCTGCCCCCGGAGCTGCCCCCGGAGCTGCCCCCGGAGCTGGCCGCGGAGCTGCCCCCGGAGCTGCCCCCGGAGCTGGCCGCGGAGCTGCCCCCGGAGCTGCCCCCGGAGCTGGCCGCGGAGCTGCCCCCGGAGCTGCCCGCGGAGCTGGCCGCGGAGCTGCCCCCGGAGCTGCCCCCGGAGCTGCCCCCGGAGCTGGCCGCGGAGCTGGCCGCGGAGCTGCCCCCGGAGCTGGCCGCGGAGCTGGCCGCGGAGCTGCCCCCGGAGCTGGCCGCGGAGCTGGCCGCGGAGCTGCCCGCGGAGCTGGCCGCGGTCGGGCGCGGCGCCCGCCCGGGGCGGCGCGGGGCGGTCAGTCCGCCTCCCGCCCGCCACGGCGAGCGGGCGGAAGCAGCGCCGCCCACCGCGGTCTAACGAACGGGGAAGAGACTTTGGAGATCGGATCGTGAAATCCAACCATTAGGCTATCCTAAAAGCTAACTGCTGTTGGAGCACACTAGAGAGAGGGCTAGGAGGCAAGATTCAGACTGTGGAGAAGAGCACAATTTTACCTGCCTTGTTTCAGGTGTTTGTCCAGCCATGCGCTTTTCTAGGGTTAAGTAGGTGTTTGCTACGAGATGCCGTCGCGCTCGGAGCCTCGCTTCTTGCTAGGCCTCGTTCTTGAAGCCTCCTGGGGCAGAATCAAACCGGAGGTGGAGCCCGGGTATCATGAGTAAGGGTCTGCTCAGGACAGCCCCTTATGCAGGGGCAGTAGTATACCTCTGCCAGCATTGCTGGGGAAATGAGTTACTCTTCACCTGCATGACAAGGCACTGCTGGGAAAGCAGCAATTCTGTGGCTCTTAACACTTCCTTTTTTCTGAAGCGCGTTGCAGCAGCAATACCAAGTATGGTGTGTGAATCACTGCTAGCACTTCGGGAGCTAGTTTGCATCTCACACTTTATTTTGGACAGTCTTTGCTCTGTTACAATCGATACCTCTGTAAAGTTTTGGGTGAGGGATTAACTTCGTTAGATGATAACAGTTGAATAGATGGGGGTTTGTAAAAGGCATCTTATTTTTGTGGTACAGATGTCAGATAAATAAGGCTAATTCTGTGTGATGTGGGATATGAATGTAAAAAGATAAAAAGAGATATTTGACACACTTAATATATTTACATTATTTTAGTAAGCTAATATAGTTAAACACCAAGCTGACACAGTTATTTTCTTCCAAAGCTTTCTACTCTTAAATCTTACTAACCTATTAAAGATATATAATACATATAGTTACCGTTCCCCTAGTATATTCAAATGATGACTAGGTGTTCTAATAACCGCTTCCTCTTTTTCCAAACTAAATGCAATAGAAAAATCAAAACAATATAAGCTGTGACAACAGTTTGTTTCTGACAACAAACAACAGTTTGTTTCTGTGACATCTGTTTGTACGGGATGGATGGTTGGTAGTACAGCATTAATCTGGACAAATTTTCTTTTGGTAGAAGAGCTAGTCAGAGAGGCATGGTGTATAGTGTTTACTCAGATGGCATGTCAAAATACTGAATATACCTTCAGGCATAGTTAGACAGGATGTGTTAGACTGCATGTATATATGAAGTATCTGAAAGGCTTGGAACATTTTCAAATCCTGGGAAGGTGAGAAGAGTGGAACTGCTACTTTCATAGTGTTCCAACTAAAGGCCAGAGATAAAAAAAAAATCTTGATGTGATTAGGTGGTGTTCTGGGGACTAGTAGTTACAGTTGCAAGATATATTTAAATACCGTTATGGATCTGTATCAGTCAAGTGGATGAATTTATGTATGACGGTTCCTGTGTGTTTGTAAAATTGGATGTAGAGAGGAAGACACTGAAAAGGGAAGCCATTGATTGGTATATAAATTATAGGCAAAGCTCTGACTTAATGAAGAGATTAAATGCTACCCTCTGACAGTGTTTTGGGACATGAAAAATGTACTACTTACTGTTGCTTTGGGTATTGTATGGAATTGTTAAGTTCATGCTGTATGATCAAATAATTGTTCTTGAGTTATTCTTCTGAAAACTAAAGAATTCTGAAATGTTAGTATTGCTAAAAGCTGCTGTAGTTAAGCTTTTGCCTGCTGCTCAGAGAAGGACTCCTTGCCCTTCTCACCGCTCCAGCCTTGAGAAAAAGGCTAAGAAGTAAATTATTTCTTTCCTTATCATCCTCTGTGTCTGGCTTTGCTTCCTTTTTCCTGTGCTTGACCATCAGACACTTCACTAGTCTGGTTCAGCATGCTAAACTGTGAGTAAACTAAATTACTGCAGAGGTAAAAATCATGCTTCCCATGTTTTTGAGTTGAGGTGAGTACTGCAAAAAGTGAGAATAGCTAGGGTTGTGTCAAGGTGAGATGTGGGTAAAGCTGAGAGCAGAGATGAACATAAAAAAGAGGAGAACGGGAACTTCCCTTTGACTTAACCTTAGCCTATATAGCTCAGCATGTAATTTTGTTCCAGTTGTTTAGAAATCTAGCATGTTATCAGTTTTGATTGAATTGTCTGTCTTAAAAAGCGAGTAGTTTCTCCTTGACTGCACTAGTACCGTTTTTTAAAAAACCCCAACCTACCAAACACAGGAAAACCTGACAAACCTGTCCCATCAAACTCAATGCTGATTTTTTTGAGAGAATCAGCTATGCTGTCTAGTCATTAGATCAACAGTAAGGTCGTTTTGATCCATATTAGCAAGGCACTTACCAATTTATGCACAATTTTGAGCATTTATCCCCTTTCACACATTCTTACCTGATAATCATCTGTGTGGTAAAGCAGTAACCTGGGATGTTTTTGCTCTATGATCTGCACTCCTTTTTTAATAATCTGAAATTCCATAGCTTCGTGTTTTCTGACTATATGATACTTCGATGTGTATGAAAAGAGGGGAGGACATTTGTGACTGCCTATGGGGCTGGATGGTAGCACTAGTTGCAATAGTACTTCAGAAGAGGCAGAAGTTAACATGGTTAAGAGTGCAGACTGCAAAGATGTGCCTGTGTCTTTTAATGTGTTTATAATATACTACAAAGAAAGGGTAGTCAGGAGGTAGTAAATGGTTGGAGAAGGAAATATGAGTCTGTAGACAGTAAGGTGTGAAGTTTTATAAGACATTCTGGGCTTGATTTTTGTTGGGTGTTTGATTTGTTTTCTTCACACGTAGTTGTAGTGACTGTCTAGATAGACCTGTAAAAATTTTGTAAAGTTGATCAGCTTTTTGTTCCTTAGCTGCTCTGTGTATCATGTGTTTCAAGGCATCGCTAGTATTTTTAGCATCCCGTGGTAATATTTATCTTGCCACTGCAGTTTCTTATTTAGAAACTAATGTGAGAACTCCTGCAAAATCTTTTAAAATTGAAGACCCTCAAATACAAGGAATAGCAATAACAAACCGGATCATCTACAAAGAAACTATCATATGAATGAAGCGTGGATGCTGTAAATTTCTGCAAAATCTTTATTGGAAAACTAGGGAATAGTCGACACATATGTATGTGTCTGTGTGTATGTGCAAAGGAGGAAGATAGGTTCATCTCACTGAGAAGTCTAGTGTTATTTTCAGTCAGCCCTTCAACCTCAACAGCCACAGTTGACCATTCTCGCAGCATAGATGTTATGATAAGAGAAAAGTAGATTTTAGATGTTATTCAAAGATTTGATCCCAGGAACTAGTCTGTTCCTGTCACTGGCATCCACTTAACAGAATTGAAACACTTTCTATGAGTTTAAGGCTAGTATAAAATGTGTAATACATTAATGCATAAACTAGAAAACAACAACATATTTACTTTGAAAGAGAATGAACAAATTATGCTGCCAGTCTTAAAAATAAACCTTTCTAATTTAAAAATATTTGTTTTTAAAAAGAGCTTGCAAAATTACAAGAACTATATTTTTAAGTGTTTATCTGCTACATCTTAAGTAGAATAAATGCTAACTATTTCTACATAAAATCAATGCTTAAAAACTATCTGAATTGCTTAAAGTCTGCTAATATGTAGGTGTGTAAAAGAAGGTTTTTTTAATAGTAGATAGATCTTTCAAATAGGTTAATAATACTTGTTGCTAATCTCTAATGATCTTTTTAGTGGATATATTTTAAAGTGAATTTAGTTGATAGAAATAAAACTTATAAAGTACTTATTTAATGGAGACATGGGATATTTCAGTGATTTCATCCTTCCCATATCACTAAGCAGGGTGCTTATTGCTGACAAAAATCTTTCAGCTTAATTCTTTTTAGAGCGTTCTGTGACTGTAGTTTGTGTCATGTTCATGCCTCATGCTGTCTGAAGCCTTAATGGCTTGTTTCAGGATTAATCCAATGCTAGTAAGAAACAGGATTTGAGGTCTTACACTAAGCCGGGAGGAAGGAACTGTCAGTTTTCTGTTTCAATTCATGATACCTGAAGAATCACCAGAGGAAACTGGCTTAATTTTCCTTAATCATGAGTGAGCAAGATTATGAAGAAAACGGGCCAAATCCAAGTGAGTCTCTTTATAAGACAATGCTGTGGTTCTAATGTCTTTCTTACTGAAATAGGAGGTTCCTGTATTTCCAGCCATATTTTAAAGAATTTATAAAGAGCTTTTGCAGTGTTTTCATTAGAAGTAAGCTGTGGTTGATTATAATAGTAGCCTAAGTAAGGAAAATGTAAGATTTA